AGCCCCCCAGTGGCTGAGGGGCCTCCTTCCAGTCCTGGCAGGCGGCCGGGGTGCGTGGGGATCCCCCGACATCCAGACCCAGAGCACTCCAGGAAAGCGGAGGGAGGCCTCCAGAGCCAACACAGAACGACTCCCCCGCCGGGACGGCGAAGACTTCCTCCGTGTTCAGTGAAAGGGCGAGATCTCAAACCTGCGGACACGCGGCCCCGCCCTTCCCTGCATTCTCAGTGAAGGGGCGGGGACTGCGCCCTCCATCTTACCCTGGGTCCTCCATTTTTGGGCAGGGCCATGTGCTCGGCAAAGGCTTCTTCCCGGAAGAAGCCTCTGCTAGCCACACCCAGGATTTCTCTGGACTACCCGATGATAATCAAGGGAAGTGCACGCCATCACTATGACCACATCCTGTGTAATGAGACACCGACTTGCGCCTGGCCAATCGGCGGGGCCCACAGTCCCCTCTCCCGCCCTTACTCCACCCCCCTATAAAACTCCTGGTCCCATCAGGCTTCTCTCTCTCTGCCACTTGCTGCTGTGTCAGTAAGGAGGGTAGGGGAGCCAAGCCCAGGTTTGAAATAAAGGACTCTTTGCTTTTGCATCGGCCTGGCGGGCTCCCTGGTGGGCTCTTGGGAATCTTGAAATCTGGGCATAACACAACCAAACTATAGAACAACCATAATTCAGAACCCCTTGAAATCTAGCTGAACGGAAGTCCTATAGAACTAAGGATATAAAGAAGAAGCCACTGAGACTGGTAGGAGAGGCAGAGATGCCAACAGGCTGGTCCCACACCTATGTGAGGCAGTTAAAAATATTTTAGCTGCAGAGGTCCCCCAGAGAAGCCAGGGGTCCTAGACCCACACCAGAACCCCCAGCCCAGGAAAAAGATATTTCATGAAAATGGAAACAAACAAACAAAGCTAAGGCAGCAATACTAATACGAGACAAAATACACTTTACCAAAGGCTACAACAAGAGACAAATAAGGACCTAGCAACTCTACTTCTAGGTAGAGTTATCCAAAGAAACCCAAAATATGAAAATTGAAAAGATATATGCATCCATATATTTATTGCAGCATTATTTACAATAGCCAGGATATGGAAGCAACCTAACTGTCCACCAATAGATGACTGGATAAAAAAGAAGGGGTGCATAAATACAATGGCTTGGGGTGGGGAGGTGGGGTGGGCTAGAAGGGGTCAATGAGGGGGGGGACATATGTAATACTTTCACAATAAAGATTAAACACACACACACACACACACACACACACACACACACACACACACACTGAGATATCACCTCACGCCTGTCAAAGTGGCTATCATCGATAAATTAACCAACAAATGCTGGCAATGAAGTGGAGAAAAGAGAACCCTCATGCACTGTTGGTGGGCATGCAGACTGGTGCAGCCATTCTGGAAAACAGTATGGAGTTTCCTCAAAAAATTAAAAATGAATCTGCCTTTTGACCCAGTGATTCCACTTCTGGGAATATATACTATTAATCCCAAAATACCAATCAGAAAGAATATATGCACCCCTATGTTTGCAGCAGCATTGTTTACAAGAGCCAAGATCTGGAAAGAACCCAAGTGCCCATCAGTAGATGAGTGGACAAAAAAGCTGTGGTGCATTTGTACAATGGAATTCTACTTGGCCATAAAAAAAGAAAAAAGAAAATGTTACCTTTGTGACAGCATGGATAGACCTGGAGATTATAATGCTAAGTGAAATAAGCCAGTCAGAGAAAGACAAATACCATATTATCTCACTTATAAGTGGAATCTAATGAAAAATAATTAAACTGACAAAATAGAAACCAAGGCATGGATACACGGAACAGACTGGCAGCTGTCAGAGGGGAGGAATGTTAGGGTATTGGATGAAAGAAGGTGAAGGGATTAAGCCCTCCTCTCCCCCAAATGTATATATAACACAAAAAGTAGTGATAACCAGAGGGAAAGGGAGTATGGATAGGAAGAGGTGGGCAAAGTGGGAAAGAATGGGGATGGAAAGGGACTTTCTGTGGGGCAATGGAGGCATGATGCAGCGTGCAGATGATGTTTTATTGAGTTGTACCCTTGAAACCTGTATGGCTTTGTGATGCAATGTCACCCCAATAAATTCAATTAAAAGAAAAGAAGTGGTACATATATACAATGGAATATGATTCAGCCATAAAAAAGAATGGATTTAAAAAAATGGAATGAAATCTTGCCATCTGCAACAACATGCATGGATTTAGAGCAGCCGTGGGCAAACTACGGCCCGCGGGCCAGATCCGGCCCGTTTGAAATGAATAAAACTAAAAAAAAAAAAAAGACCGTACCCTTTTATGTAATGATGTTTACTTTGAATTTATATTAGTTCACACAAACACTCCATCCATGCTTTTGTTCCAGCCCTCCGGTCCAGTTTAAGAACCCATTGTGGCCCTCGAGTCAAAAAGTTTGCCCACCCCTGGTCTAGAGCGTATTGTGCTGAGTGAAATTAAGTCAGACAGAGAAACACAAATGCCATATGACCTTCCCTTACATGTAGAATCTGAAAAACAAAATAAATGAACAAGCAGAACAGAAACAGACTCATAGATACAGAAAATATTTTATGGTTGCCAGATGAGAAGGATGTTGGGGGGCTGGGTGGAAAAGGTGAAGGGATTAAGAAGAATGGCCCTGGCTGGTGTTTCTCAGTGGAGTTGGACTTCTCACGAAAGGTCTTGGGTTTGATTCCTGGTCAAGGGCACATACCTGAGTTGCAGGTCTCAAACCCTACCCCTGATTGGGGTGGGTGTGCGAGGCAACCAATCCATGTGTCTCTGTCATATCAATGTTTCTCTCTCCTCTCTCTTCCCTTCCACACTCTAAAAAATCAGTTGAAAAACATCCTCACTCCTTGGATGAGGATTAAAAAAAAAAAGAGAAGAAGTAGTACAAATTGGTAGTTAGAGAATAGTCATGGGGATATAAAGTACAGCATAGGAAATATTAATATTGTAATAACTATATATGATATCAGATGGGTAATAGATTTATTGGGGTGATCACTTTATAAACTATATAAATGTTAAAAATGGGGCTGTACACCTCAAACTAATATGATATTATATGTCAAGTGTAATTTAAAAAAATTAAAAACAAAATAAAATTTTCAAAAAACACCACCACACATGATAATCAATCAGGTTTGAGGGACACATAATATGAAAAAGCTGCAAATGGATGTGAGTTGGCAGTGTGAAGATTACAAAAAGAAACAAAAGGTCATAGGCCCAGGAAACAAAGTTTATCAAATGTCCACTGAGTTTACCAAATGTCTACTCTGAAGGCAGCAAACACTGTGATAAGAATTCATACAACGGACCATAATGCTGGGTAACATGTGGCCCTGGAGCCTGCTGGCAGCATAGCATGGTGCTGCAATCGTGTTGGTGGGGGAAAAGCTTGAATATCTTAATGAAATCTGTCTCCTTTTAGGAACTGTACCTAAAACAAGAAGACTGGAAAATGTAATGCAGAAATCTACGATACCATTATTGTAAAATACATTTATATATAAAAAAATATTAGGGGGAAAAATAGGCCTTGCTTCTTGATAATTAATGAAGCATGGCTCTTTCAAAGCAGAGAAGGTAAAAGCTTCCCTGAAATCTGGCCAACAGCTGCTGCTAGGGCACAGGGAACACTGTACAGGGTAGAGAAGAATGACTGCAGAATCCAACAGCTGTGACTTCCCCATAGTGACTGTCACCTGTTTGGTTTTCTTCGACGGGACAGGAACTGGAGCTGTCTCTTGTTGCATCATTTCTACGTCTCCCCCTCCTTCACCATCTGATGCTTCTGAAAAATATAAAGTTTAAAAATCAGAAAAGCCTCTTACCCTCCCCCCAATTGCTATGACTGCTAGTACAATCTTGGTATACAACCTTCCTAGAAGGGTCTATCCCTTGATTTAGCAATTCCACCTCTAGGAAGATGCAGTTAAGGAAATGACCCAAAATGAAGCAGGAGATTTCAGCACCAAGATGGCAGTCTTATTTAAAACGCTGCAACATGGAAGATTATCCAGATGTCTAACATTAGAGGATGTTTAATGATGGAACACACACTCACAATGATTTTACAGATATTACTCTCCTCATGTTTAGATTTTAAAAAGCTACTGCTACTTAGAGGGGATTATAGGTTATGAGAAATTCTTATTTTGAATTTTTAAAATATTTCAATAATGGAAAAGAGAAATTTTTACTCTAAGAATCAGGAAAAATAAAAGTTTTAATGCTTTTCCTGTTTATAAAGTTCTCTTGAAGAAACATGGCAACCCTAAGTTTCTTACTTTCCTTAATGCCATACAGCCTTCCAGATTATAGCAGTTGCTTTACAGAGACATTTGGAAACTTTGAAAGGTTTTACTCATTCCTTTTGAGTTTCCCTGTATATCTCAGTCAGCTCAAAATATGAATTTATGAGCAAACCTTGGTCGGAATTCAGATTTAGGTCCAAATTAACCCATCTGGTAGTACAAGCATTTAAAGTTTGCATACCATAATGATTAATTTTGTGTCAACTTGATTGAGCCACAAGGTGAATACATATTTGGTTAAACATTATTCTCGGTATTTCTATGAGGGTGTTTCTCAATGAAGTAATATTTGAATGGGTATACTGAATAAAACAGATTGCCCTCCCTAATGTGGGTGGTCTCAGATATCCAACCAGATGAAGGACTTGAATAGGCTAGCCCTCCTCTGAGTAAGAGAATATTATCTGCCTTTGGACTTGAACTGAACATGGGCTCTTCCTGCATCTGGAGCATGTCAGACCCTAGACTGGAACTAAACCATAGGCTCTCCTGGTCTCCAGCTTGCCAGTTCATCTTGCAGATACTGAGACTTGTCAGCCTCCATAATTGCATGAGCCAAAACCTTACTTTATATCTATATCTAGCTATATACATGTGTGTGTGTGTATGTGTATGTATGTATATGTATGTATGTGTGTATGTGTGTGTGTGTGTGTATGTATATATATATAGTACTATTATCTGCCAGGCACTATTAATTTAGTCACACAACAACTCCTCCCCAATTGGTTCTGTTTTTTTCTGGAGAACCCTGATTTATACACATACTTTCAACTCTGTAGCATGAAAAAGAATTCTACCCAAAAAATTAAAAACAAAATAAAATTTTCAAAAAAAAAATTCACAGATGGTAATCAATCAGGTTTGAGGGACACACAATGTGAAAAAGCTGCAAATAGATGTGAGTGAGCAGTGGGCAGGTAGAGAATTAACAGGGGATTTTCAATGAGTGATTAAATTTGTATTAAAAGTATTTATAGAATTTTTCCCTTTGGGGAGAAAGTATTAGTAATCATATTTTTCCTTATTCCTCCTGCTAAGTACAGCTAAAAATCCTGAGCCTTATATATGAAACAAACATAAGAAGTCTCTGAAAGGTAGAGAGAAGAAGGCAGACTGGCGAGGGATTCTGGCGCCCAATGAATAACATAAAGGTGAGCTCCTTGGGTTTCTTTTCGCCTCATTATCTCAGACTTGGATCTTAAGAAGCATCAACTTGAAAATGCCAATTTGGGACCAGACGAAAAAGGCCCCAATAAATATCTTCTCTATTCAACAAAATAACCAGGAAAAGGGGCAGCCTAGTAAGACTGAAAACTTTTAGACTCCAGCCAACACCACACAAAACTGTGGCCTAGTCCCCTCCAGCAAAGGCTGAGTGGGGAGCCTAGGTTTTCACCCTTGCAAGGCTGTAATGAGACTCTCTAACTCCTCCTCCACTGCCTACCAAGTGGGAATGGACCCCTGGAGGGATTTATATCCCTGAAGAGTGGTAACAAACCCTTGTTCCCTCCTCTCATCACCACCACCACTGCTGTAGTATTAATGGAGACCACATGGTGAGCCTGGACTTCCACCTCCTCCTGGCAGTAATGAAATGCACCTCTCACTCCCCATTAGGATATTATCAGAGTCCTAGTAAAGTCAGGACTTCTCATACTGGCCAATGGTAACAAGATAACATCCACACTAATAGTTTTAGCAACCACTAAAAAAGCTTTAGAAAGATACACTCAAAAACAGAAAGAATAAATAAAATAAAATTGTAAATATGAACAAATTGTAAATACTTGAACAAGTAACCCACAGGAAATTAGGGAAGAGAAAATAGAGAAACAAAACACAGCAAACAAACAGAAAAAAACGAATAAAATAATATGGTGGATTTAAACCCCAACATATCTATAATTATAATAATGTAAATGGTCTAATAACCACACCAATTTAAAGGCAGAGATTGACAGAATGGATTAAAAGAGATGAACTAACTATATACTGATTACAAGAAACTTACCTCAAATATAACAATATAGGCAAGTTGAAAGCAAAATGAAGAAAAAAAATATAACATGCAAATATTGATCAAAAGAAAGCAGGACCAGATATATTAATATCTGGTAAAGTAGACTTAAAAAAAAGTAGACTTCAAAGTAAATAAAATGACCAGAGAAAGAGGACATTATATAATGACAAAGGGTGAATTTGCCAAGATGACATAGCAATCTTAAATGCATATGCACCAAACAACAGATCTACAAAATATGAGAAGCAAAAAACAAACAAAAAAAACTGATAGAAATGAAAGAAGAAATAAACAAACTTATGATTAAGTTGCAAACTTCAACAGTCCTCTCAGAAATTGAGAGAATGACTAGACAGAAAATCAGCAAGGATATATAGAAAAACTGAGTGACAACAGTAACCAACAGGATCTGATCAACATTTTGTAGAACACTCCACTCAAGAGTAGAATACACATTCTTTTCAAGAGTTATGGAACATATACCAATATAGATCATATTGTAGGAAATAAAACAACAAACTTAAGAGAATTGAAATTGATAAACAGCATGTAAAAAAACCCTACAACAAACATTATACTTTATAATGCAAGACTGAATGCTCTCCCCTGTGTGGGAACAAGATAGCTACTCTGAACAATATTATTCCACACAGTGCAGGAACTTCTAACCAGTGCAATAAGACAAAGTGAAATAAAAGGCATAAACATCAGAAAGGAAGAAATCAAGCTATTCCTATTTGCAAATAACATACTGTTTTCATAGAAAATCTCAAGGAATCTTTAAAAACAACAACAAAAAACCCCCTGCTAGAACTAATAAGAGAGTTAGCAAAGTTGCAGAATAAAAGATAAACATGCAAAAATCAATTTTATTTCTATATATTAGAAATGAGCATGTGAACAAAAAAAATAAAAATAAAAATACAGTGCCACCTGGCTGAGGTGGCTCAGTAGTAGAGCATCGACCTATGAACCAGGAGGTCATAGTTCGATTCTCAGTCAGGGCATACCATATGCCCAGGTTGAAGGCTCAATCCCCAATCGTGCAGAAGGCAGCTGATCAATGATTCTCTTTCATCATTGATGTCCCTATCTCTCTCTCCTTCTCCCTTCCTCCCTGAAATCAATAAAGATATATTTTTAAAAAAATACAGTGCCATTTACAATTGCTGAAAAACTCTCAAAATACTTAGGTGTAAATTTAACAAAACATGTAACTATTTTTGCTTGCATGCTGAAGACCACAAAACACAGATGAAATAAACCCAAGAAGACCTAAATAAATGGAGAGATATACCGTGTTCATAAATTGGACGATGAATCATAGTAAAGGTACAAGTTCTCCTCAAAATGATATATAGGTTTAACACAATCTACACTAATAAAAGAGAAACATGGTAATTGGTGTACGACCGCTACCCTTTTCATTGGCTAATCAGTGAGTATATGCAAATTAACTGTCAGCCAAGATGGCGGCCGGCAGCCAGGCACTGAAGCGAGCACGAGGCTTGCTTGCTGCAGACTCCAACGTTCGCCGCCTCACTTGCCAGCCTCTCAGCTGCAAGTCTAAGCAACTATATACTATGTTGCAAATAAGAAGGTAAACAAACC